AATTGCTTTCCAAATTTCATTTTTGAATTATTTATTGTGAGAGTATAGAAGTCTACTTAATTTTTGCATGTGAATATTTTTATTCTGTGACCTTGCTGAGCTAGTTTATTCATTAATTAAATAGTTTGTTAAATGAATTTCCTAGGATTTTCTCTGTACAAGACCACGTCAACTGCAAAGAGAAAGTTTTGCTTCTGATTTCCAATACGCACATCTTTTCTTTTCTTGCTTAATTCCTCTGGCCAAGACCTTCCCTGCAATGTGAATAGAAAGGGTGAGAGAAGATATCCTTGTTCCTGATGTTGAGGGGAAGCTTTCACTCTTTCACCATTAAGTATAAACTTACCTGCCTTTATCAGATCAAAGGCACTGTCTTCTATTCCTAGTTCACTAACCACTAATAGGTTTTTTTTTTTTTAAATCATGCACTGATATTGAAATTTGTATTTTTTCTACACATTGAGATGATCATGGGTTTTGTTTTTCTTTATTAATATGGTATAGTATATTAATTTTTATATATTAAAGCAATTTATATTTCTAGGAGAAATATTGCTTGGTCTTGTTATATAATTCTTTATATATGCTTCTGGTTTTAATTTGTTAGTTTTTTGCTGTTAATTTTTATGTAAATGATTGATAGAATTCACTAAAGAAAACATCTGGACCTTGCAGGAAGTTTTTAAATTACTAATTCAATCTTTTTAGTAAACATATATTCGGATTGGAGTCAATTCTCATAGTTTGTGTCTTTCTAAAATTTGTCCATTTCACTAGATTATCTAATTTATTGAGATATTGTCGTTTATAGTCTTCTGTTATAATCCCTTTTATTTCTGTTGGATCAGTAGTGAAATCTCTCTTAGCTTTTTCACTAGTTATCTCTGGTAAACTAGCTTTTCTACAGTTTATCATCTTGCTTTAATGGAGCTATCAGACTCCTTCTAGTTGCTTACCATCAAAATCTCCATTGCTTCYAAGAATTCCCCTAGGTTGGAACTTCATACAAATATTGTTTCAAATAAACTCAGTTCTTTTGAAGAGCATTTCAGAGATCCCTGTTCTTCTGGTGTGCCTGTGTCCTTGGGCAAAATCTCTTACTTATGACTTTGGTGCTAGGGGTTGTAAGAGCAGACAAAAACTCTTACATTACCAGTAAGATGCTAGATAGGGATGGTGCCCTCTAGTTTTCTCTCTTTATCTTTCCTGGGGGTGAATTTCTAGCCTATAAGTGAACAAGGCAGTGKGATTTAGGCCCCAGTATTTTGGGCCTGTTCTACCTGCGTAGTCCTCTACCCTATAAGTTGTGGCTGGGTGAAGAGAGGGTCCCCCTGACCTGTTGACCACATTTGCATAGAATTTAGCCTCTGCAACATGGAACTGAAGATGGGTGGGATGTGGATGAGAAGTGGTGTTATCCCCATGATCCTAGGAAGATACAGTAACCCTTAACTCCAGAGAGAAAAAAAACAAAAAAAAACACCTATCTTTCTGGCCACATGTACCAGAGTAGAGCTTCCATCATTCTGTGGTGGGAGGTTGGTGATGGGGAACAAGGGAGGGGGTCATGGTTCAAGTGCAACTCTCACTGTTTTCATTGAGTTTTGGTTAATTTTCTTATGTGTGATATACTCTTAGAATAGTTACCAAAGACTTTAAAACTTTTAAAAATAGTTTTCACCAGTTATGATTGTTTCACTGGAGAGAGTGGCATGGAGATCCTCATGCTATCATTCTGTGAAGTATCTTTCTTATGTATTACCTTAGCTTTATTTGATACTAATTTATTATATAATTTATTTATTGAGAGCTTCCTATGCACTTGATACACTATTATTTCTGTCAAAATATATGTCCTAGATTAGAGCAAGGACACTAAATACTTGGAAAATATATTTCTCTGACATGCTAGATGTCTTTATTGGGGTTACTGTATGTATTGGTTGGCATATAAACAACAGAAGTGTATTTCTCACTGTTCTGGGAACTGGAAATCTGAGATCAGGGTTACTATGATCTTCTTATTGTTTACCCGTACGATGGAAAGAGAGTGAGTTAGACCTCAGACACCTTTCAATATGTGCACAAATCTCATTATTGAGAGTTCTACTCTTACAACCTATCTACCTCTCCAAGGACCTGACATCAAACACCATCACAGTGGGGTTACTTTGTAAATACTAAATTCAGTCTAAAATGCTGGACTTGTTTGAAAAATAGCCAGGAATATAGGTTTGTGTGTGTGTGTGTATACATGTAAATAGTTATTTTTATAAGAAGCTAAGATTAAGTTAATGCAATTTGATCAGAGTTGTCAAATGCAATTATTTCACAAGTGAGTTGACATTTTCTGTTGAAGTTTTTAAAGTATGTTCCAACAGCCACCTGAATCAAAATATTTAATCATCTGTTTGAAAGGCAGAATTTTTTTTTAGTCCTCTTCAGACTACTCTTTTATGCAGAGAAATTTGTGGAGATATTTGACTCATACTTTGGGTTAAATTAATATAGTACAACCTTGGTGATAGATTTCAATGAAACATTTATAATAAGAAATTGTATAATCACTGTGCTAGGTGCTGGTAATATAAAAAGAATAAGATTTGCTCCTCCAATCCTGTAAGCATCTGTACTATTCATGATATTAATCTGGTAGAAAGAAAGACAATTATATAGTAACTTGATGTATAGTATAAGTCACATTAAATTTACAAAAGTTCTACACACAGATTTGGGGCAAGGAATACTCCTACAAGTAGCCTAAACATGAGCACACCAACACAGGCGCACACACACACACACACACACACACACACAACACAGAGCATTACAATCATTGCTCAGTATCCATAGCAGATTGAATACACTGCCCATCCCCATTCCTCCCCAAACCATGGATGTTCAAGTTTCTTATATAAAATGGTAAAAGTATTTGCATGTAACCAATGCAAATCCAGTACTCCAAGCTGTCTCTAGACTATATATAATACTTAATATAAAGTAAATGCTAGGTAAGTAGTTGATATTCTGTATTATTTTGAGAACAGCAACAAGAAAAAAGTTCCTACATGCTCAGAGAAGATGCAGTGTTTTTCCAAATAGTTTTAATCTGCTCATTTGAATCTGTCTATATGGAACCCATGGATATGAAAAGCCAACTGTTTACCTTTACCAAAAGGAATAGGGAGGAAAAAAATCTAGAATAATTTGGAGACGGCTTCCTATACACAGAATCCTGTGTTGTCCACCCTCCCCTTCTCTCTGTGTGTCCCAAAGCTACCTTTCCACCGATGGAATGAACAACTGGATGTAGGTAAGGGTAGAATAAGACACATTTTTGTTTTACACACTCAGAGACTTTATTGTCTTACATAATGATGTAACAAACTTATTTTTTAAAAAATATTAAGTGAATGCTTTCCACATGCCAAGGTTCTTGGTTAGGAATGCTGACTTTTTTTCTCCCAAATATATGAAGGCATTGAATATGGCATTGATAGCTGATACAAAAGGGCCATTACTACTTGTTAAATGGTGCAGTATTTCTTTCTTTTCTTTTCTTTTCTTTTTTTATTAGTGGAGCATTTTTTAAGCATTAAAATAGAACTGAACTGGGGATACCTGCAACCCCAGCTCCTTGTTCCCTTTTTCTTCTGTGCTGACCTGATTCCTTCTCTTCCCAGTCCTGACCCAGGAGTCAGGAGACCACAGCTGTGTGGATCCCACCTTCATCTGGACACATATCGGGCTGTGGCCTCTCTTCCAGGAGGACTTGCTGGTAGAAGAGGCCTTTTGGGGGGCCACCATAGACCTAGCATGACATCTACTGGTTCTCTATTTCTACATTTAGATGCTTTCTAATATGTAGTTTCTTCAGTGATCTTTTTAGACATGGCCTTTGGGGGTTTTATGAATCGACCATTATTTAAATTAAGTTTAGTGTGAAACGCAGTTAATCTTTTATAATAAAGAATAGACTAACGGCAGAATAAGAATGCTATGGACTGTTTCGTGTACCCTCAGGGTAAATATGTTTGCAGGTCAAAGTTGCTAAATACCTCCTGAAGGTCAATCACACAAAATATTAGGAAACTTGGGCCTTTTAAATTTCATATCCTAGTATTTTTTGGTTTGGGGTTTCTCTGTGCTGAGAGCCTTCTTGTAGGGTTGTGATGATCATCCTGGCAGCTGCTGATAGAGCCCAGCTCAGACTTAGAGCATGGTGTTTCTGAGATCTTGGATTGACAGCATATTTTATCATCCTAAAACAGACTGGTTTTGCACATATCTAGGAACTGATTTTGAAGTTTGGACTAAAATAAAAACAGAAAAAGGAGAAAAACTGACATTCATCTGAGTACCTATCAAGTTCTGTGTTACAAAGAGTAATGCTAAACCTTGGAGGCCAGCTTTATCATCATTCTTTATAGAGGAAGCTGATTCTCAGTGTTAGGGCTAGGGCTCAGGGTTACATAGCTAGTAACAGAGAGGTCAGATTTCAGTCTGGCTAGCCCCCCCTCCCATCCCTACAACCTGCAGAAGGTCAGTAGGATGATTCTGTGAACATGTTTCTGTAAGACTTATCACATAATAGTTAAAATCACCAATGAGTTTTTTCTGCAAGAGTTCTTTGCCTATCATATGTCAAATATTAAGGTGAATCTGAATTTCAGAGACCTACAGGTAGCTTTAACAGTCAATATTCTCTTTCCATTCAACATCTGAAGCACTTTATGCCTATGGCCTTACAGTAGGGTCAACCCGTCTGCCTAACTGGACTGTGATCATTTTGGGGCAGGAGCTAGTTCTCCTCTTCCTGAGTTTCTCTGAAGCACCTGGCTCACATAAGAGATCTTTCTCTTAAAGATTTGTTTGTTGCAAATGCATAGAATTGAATTTCAAGATTAATTTTAGCTACATATATATACATATATACACATATATATATTCTCAGGTTTTTTTGTTTTGTTTTGTTTTGTTTTTGCTTTGGTTGTTTTAAGCAGATTTAAAGAAAGCTTCCAGTTCAAATGCTGCAAAATCCAGTCTACCGAAATCCGGACTTCGACCTCCTGGATACTCGCGTCTCCCAGCGGCCAAGCTGGCGGCCTTTGGCTTTGTCCGGAGCTCCAGCGTGTCCTCAGTTTCCAGCACCCAGTCAGCGGACAGCGTGCCGCCCGAGCAGAGCCGGCCAGCCACCCGTAAGTGGGGCAGGGGGAGGGGTTGGGCACCTGTGCCCAGCTCCTGCAGGCCAGTCCAGGCCCTAAAGGTAAATTGACCTGCCTGGGTCCCTATGTGTCATTTTCTTTGTGTGACTAATAATTTTGATCAGTTTCCTTACTCTACCATCCACTTAAGGAAAATAGCCTATTTGGCACTATCTTTTTTTCTGTTTCGGTGAGTTAACAAAGCCAGGAAAAGATTTTGCACCTCTTACCATCTAGAAAATGACTTACCCAGAGACAGGTTCCAGAAGCCCTTTGCTTCACGGGTTATTAGGTAAGAGGTCAAAGAAAGATCCAAGAAAGGTGTCCCTGCGGAGTGTCATCATGAAACCTACCGAGTTTTCAATATTTGCTGAAAGAATTAGTCACCTGTGATTACCTATAGTGCCTTGGAATTGGTGAAGCATTTAACTATGTTTCCAAAAAGTTAACTAAATGAGGTTAAAAACAGGAAGGAGGGTTGAACAACTTCAGGTTCTGTGGTTGGGAACATTTGTAGCTGATAGGAGGCCACTTCAAGGCTCTCTCCTGGGACTGAGATTATGGAGTGTATCTTATGTTTGCACTGCTAGCTCTCTGGGCCAGTCACAGCAGCCACTGTCAGTAGGGGTCAGGAGGGTGACCCTTTGGCTGAACCTTTGATGACCAGACCTCGCCTCAGCCTCACCAACCTCAAAGTCATTGTTATCCGGTCTGAAGCCGTGACATCGCAGATGTTGGTTGTCAAGAACTGCCCAGAGGACCAGGAAAATCTTAGAGGTTTCCAAGTGGAGAGCTGTTTTGATGGGATTATAGAAATCAAATCAAGTGGGAGTAGTATGCAAGAGACAGAGATCATTTTTTTCAATCTTAGTCCTTCACGCTTCTTCATTCTCCTTCCTTTTTTGGGTTGCCAGAGATGATATGTGGAACATTTGTACCTTTACAGTTCTAATTTTTAATCTTCCCAGTTATTCCTGTTCATAATACTGTTTTAATTTATCTTCATATGTAGGTAAGTGGTTTTGAAGGTTGTTTCCTATGTTTTCTTGGTTTCCCGAAGAGGCTGTGGTTCAGACTTGCTTTCACTTGGATTCATTTTAGGAATGTCACTGTAATTAGGCATTACAACATTATACAGTAGCTGCCTCAAAATATGAAACATGAATATGATAAATAACTATTTGCAAATGTATGATCCATTTTTTATATGTACATGTGTATTAACAGTCTAAAGATTTTGAAATACAGGAGGAACTGTTTGTCGTCAGTTTTAGTGACAAAATTTCCAATAATATGCTTCTATTTTAGAGAAAGCATGAAAGAAAAAAAATCTCATGGTATGCATCTTTCTAAGGAAGGAGTTTAGATTTTGATTTCTTAAAAAAATAGATAACCTTGAAGCAAACTGATCCATGATAGCAGCTTTTGTTGAAGAAAAGCTGACAGGCGTGGGTAGAGTAATTCTAGGTATGCTTAGGGCACTCTGACCACTACTTCAAAGAAGAGTAGACAGGGATCCCCTGAGGACCTGAGGGGACAAGAGTTGTTACATGCCAGAGAAAATAACTTCCAATTTTAAAGGCTTTATAGTAAAAATGATATTTACTGTATTCAGAATTGTTTTCTGTTCTTTTAAAATAGAATTGATTTATAATTATCTGCTACCTATTATAAATAAAATTTGTACTTCACCAATGAGCTACAGAAAAACCTCACATGTATCTGAATTACTGTTTTAGCACCACCTACTATTATACCTATACTTGTTATTAGATTTAATGCAAAGAAAAGCAATTTCAATTCTTTAGTGGATGATGCTTTAATGACAGGGATTATGTAAAACAAGAAGTTCTTCAGAGAGCTGGAAGTTATTAAATTATATCCTAGGAGCAAAGCTTTGCTGGTTCAGCTTGTGATAATGCCAATTTGATATCAGAATGGGCTCATTTTTATTTCTTGGAAAGTTGGTCTTTTGCAGACACTATGTCACATAGGATTCATTTTAGGAATACACTGTATTTAGGYATTACATCATAGCACAGTAGACAACTCAAAATCAGAAACATGACTATAATAGGGAACTCTTTGCAAGTGTGTAATTCGTACTTTTAAATACTTATGCTCATATGCATTTCTGAGCAATTTCCCACTGACTGTGGCATGCTATATTTGGGACACTTTTAGGTGATTCATTATGAATTTATTAGTGTTTCCTAGGTAACCTTGCCTCAACTGTGTCGCATCTATGTTGTCTTCCTAGGTTCTGAAGGACAAATGATGATAAGTGTGGAGAGGGGATCCTGAATGGACCCCTGGATATGAGGGGCAGGGGCTGTTTGGGTCTTAGTGGTTCCGTGTGGACTCTTCTCTCTATTCTCGGCTCAGGCTTGTGCCTCTAGTTCAACCCTGCTGGGAAGAGCCTTTCAGAGTCATGTGCCTGTCTATTTTTTTTCAAAAATTTTGGTAAATGGAGCAGACACAAAGAAATGAACTATGTTCATAGAGTGTTAGAATTAGAAGGTATCTTACTGTCTGGGTCACCCTTCATTTCATAACTGGGCAAACTGAGACCAGCATGCCTTGCCCCGGGCTCTTGTTTCCTTTATAAAGCTGGAGAAGACATATTCATAAACATCTTTCCTTTCTCTTAGTTAAGCAAATCTTGAGGTCAGAGCTGTCTTGAGAAGTCTTGCAGGCCAAACCTACCACTTCCCCACTTTCCCAGGTTGTCAGCCAGCCCTGGGGTGAGCTCCCTAAATTGCTGCAAGCATCCTGTGGGCAAAGAAGCAACCCCTGAGGCTGGGCAGCTCTCATTGTTGGGAAGTGCTCCTAATGGGTTCAAGCTGCCTCCTTGTGATTTCTGCCCCCAGCCGCAGTTCCTGAGGTCCCCACAGCGCCTCTGGGAGCCCAGACTGCTCCTTCCTTTGCAGGTTCATCACTTGAAGATGATGAGGTTGGCCTGTTCTATATGCTAGTTAGTGTCCCACAGCTTCTTTTAAAATTCTAAGTTGAAGAGGAAAAAGCATTCTTGTAACTTAGAACTTTTAACTTTAAACTCAAACACACAGTTCTGACCCAGTATATGGCTCCTAATTCTTTGATGGTTTTCAAGGAAGAAAAAAAAATCCCAGATATATTCTTTAAATGACAAAAACTTAAAAAGGAAAACAGTTGCCCTAGAGTTTAGTGTTGGTGACATACTATAGACTGAATTATACTTGGTTGCCAAATTAATCAATGATTAAGTGTAGACTTGATTTTTCCAGTGAATAGGTAGGTATAATTTAAAGTCAAATCTTCCAGGTGGATATGTGGAGGAAAACTTGGAAGACAGGGTTTCATGAAGCAGTCATTAATGGAAATAGATTCTATTACCCAAGGATGAAGTAATTTATATAAATGATCTATTTTGTTGTGTCTTCTGAATTGTGCCTGAATTATTAGGTGCTTAAGAAATGAAAATTCCTATCAGAAGAGTACATGCAGCATAGGATACGTGCAGCTGTCCTTTTCAATTTCTCTTCCTCTTCCTTTTTCCAAATACTGTGGTATTTTCTCTTTGGGATTGTCTAAGACTAGCGTCAATCACACAAAGAATTTGAAAGGTATAAATGGAAAATTATTTTTTCTCTCCTATTCCTTTTCCTTGTCAGAAAACTAGTAGAATGGCGGGGAGGCAGGGGACAGCTGGGGAAGAAGAAGGGAGTAGTTTGCATAAATACTCAGGATGCAAGGATATGTGTTCTCAGATCTTGAACAATGGTGTAGAATTGAGGGTTGGAGGTGGAGGGCTAATTCCTGTTGAGGACCATGAGGGAATTTCTTGAAGAGAGCTGAAAGTTGGGCAGTATTTGGGAGATAGAGATGGGTGATCTTCTAGGGGAGAAGCTATTGGTGCATCCAGAAACCCACTGGAATTTAAGGAGTTGCCACCCCTGGTACAGCCCAGTGTTCAACATGGTGCTATCTCACAAGTACTAAGTACCTTTTTTTGAGCTCCCCACAGTTTGTTCTCAGAATGTGTCTATTCTGGTTCTCCAGTCTTCCCCTTGGTCATCTCATCTACAGTGGCGGCTCTTAGTACTTTGGATGCGAATCTGATATCCATCTCTTCCGTGCTTCTTTGTAGAACCACTTACCTCCATTTCAAAGGATCAATCACACATTTCCAATCAGCTGACCCATGTATACCTTAGACTGATTTTTTTCCACAAAATGAATTCTTTACTTAGTTTTACAAAAAAGCAAAAACAAAAACAAAACAAAAAAAAACCCTCCTTTCAAAGTTTCTCAATGTTTTAACGATACCTATGGTCTTCTGACAACTGGGGCTGGACATTTCAGAGTGAACATTACCTTTTACCTGCTTTTGACTTCRTTTATTCAATAATCAATTCTTGTCCGTTCTTTCTCTTGGGGATCTTTCTTTGCTCATCATCTTAATTGAAATTTATGGTAGCTCTCATCTCAGCAATTCCTGGCACATCATACCCCAACAAACAGCCACAGCTAGCTGGAGTTGTTCACATTTTTCTAGGAGGGATTTTGGTTTTTTCTGTCTGTGGGCTTAGGTTTAAACCATGCTCTGTGAATGTCCTCCCCTCCCACCTCTGCCAAGTTCATCCTCTCTCTCTCTCTCTCTCTCTCTCTCTCTCTCTCTCTCTCGTTCATCATCTTCAGGTGCCTTTTAGATTCCTCAAAAAAGCCAGCCCAATGTGATCTCTTTTCTCCTGGGAACCCCTTGAACTCCTTGCTGATATCACTTACCACATCAGCTATTGTAGTTAGTTTCTGTATCCTCCATTCCCCTATAGATTGCAAACACTTTGAGCATAGGAGCTACACTTCATAATACTTTTAGTATCTGTCACCCCTAAAAGACAGTGCTCTTCACACTGGTAGAATTTTAAAAGAAGACCTCTACCCATAGCAATATGTTCTCTCATGTAAGAATACGGGTTTGGGGGGGGGGGACTTTGGAAGAAATTTGATTA